AAAAAAAAATGAGATAGTGAGTCCACGTGTCACTAGAATCCACTAGCATTTCTGTTGTTACCAGATGAATGTTGACAAAACTACAAGAAGGGTTTCATATTGAGTTTTTTTCCCCTTTTTAATGTATTTTATGTTATCTGAGAATTCATGTATGTATATAGGTTCAACTCCACTGCTTGACAACGGGATGTTTCTTCGGAGAAAACACTCTCAGAACCACCCCATTGATGAATCTGCAGAAAAGGAGGCAAAGGTAATATATTATACACATGAAAATAAGTGAACTAGAAATTAAAGTGTTACATTTTCAAACTTTTGTTGTCTAATCCTAAATCAAAACAAAACATGAACTAAACTAGGCATTTTCTATTTTCAGGTCAAAGAACTCAGGGATGATCTTGGCCCGCTATCTGGACGTAGTTTAAAGTACTGCAGTGAATCATGCCTTAGGAGATATCTTGAAGCTCGGAACTGGAATGTTGATAAATCAAAGAAAATGTTGGAAGAGTCGCTCAGGTGGAGGGCAACTTATAAACCTGAGGAAATCCGTTGGGTAAGAGTAATTTTGATGGCATGCTCAAACTATAAACTTGTTATAATTTGTTCTTTTTTACTTATCTTTGAGGTCTCAAACTTGGTTGGTCTTGTCTTGGTCTGCAATTTTATTTATATACACATGCACATATTTTTAGGCTATGGTCGGCTATATAAGCTATAGCAATCATCCATTATAATGTTTGAATTATGTTTCATCGATGCTACTAGTTAAGCCTCTATTTACCATAGCAACATTAATTTCTTGTTTAGAATGAAGTAGCTCATGAAGGCGAGACGGGAAAAGTTTCCAAGGCAAATTTTCATGATCGACTTGGAAGACCAGTGCTTATAATGAGACCAGGGCTGCAGAACACAAATTCACCAGAAGGCAATATCCGTCATTTAGTCTATCTCATAGAGAATGGTGTCCTCAACCTTCCTGAGGATCAAGAACAGATGTCATGGTTGGTTGACTTCACCGGGTTTACGTTGAACACAAGCGTCTCTGTCAAGACAGCCCGTGATATTATTAACATTCTGCAAAACCACTACCCCGAGAGGCTTGCCGTGGTGTTTCTTTACAACCCACCAAAGATTTTTCAGGCCTTCTACAAGGTATGATCTACTAAGCTCTTTTTACTTTTTCTTTGGAATCCGTCACACGCATAAATTTCTACACGTCCTTTTAATGAATTTCCCCTTTAAGAATTCTATTTATCACCACTATGTTTATGTCAGTGAATCAAAACTGCCACATAACAGTGTGGAGACTGTAATTTTTCTTTTTTTATCATGTGACAACTTTACTCTAATGATACTCGTATGATGATGAACCAATTATGGTGAGGATAGCAGGACTCATTGCTCTATTGCTTTTGTATTTGTAGGCTGTGAGGTACTTCCTAGATCCGAAGACATCCCAGAAGGTGAAATTCGTCTACCCCAAAAACAAAGACAGTGTTGAGCTTATGAAGACATTCTTCGATATCGATAACCTTCCAGGTGAGTTTGGTGGAAAAGCGACTTTAAAGTACGACCACGAGGAGTTCTCGAGATTGATGGCTCAGGACGATGTGAAAACTGCCAAATTCTGGGGTTTTGATGACAAACCATCTAACAAAACAAACGACCATTTTGGGGCAGAGGTGGTTGCTCCCGAGCCTCTTCCCTTGGCACCACCTGCTAGTTGAGCTGAATGACTAATGCGTGAAGTG